TAGTGATTTGGTTAACCAGAAAACAGAAGCAGTGTTCCCCAAGAAAAACAACAACAAAAGAAGCCTGCTGAAACATCTCTTCATTATTCAGGTGCAATGAACCCCAACTAAGGCTTAATTACAAGAGGCGTTTGGGGGATCAGAGAGAATGAGCCCTGGTACTTTCCCGAGGCACTCGATTGATTTCTCAGATAGAAAATTCAAGCCACTGGGAATTCTGAAAACATTGATTTAGTAAGGGAGTGCCCAGGGAACATTCAAGGCGTATAATGGGAAAAGTGAAGAAGAAATGAAAATGGCCAGGTTGCCTTTTCCAAATCTTTCCCCAGAACAGATTTCAGGCTTCGCTGCTATTTTATTTTTGTTAAGTAGTCACTGAAGAAAGCTCCACTTGATGATGCATGTTGGTGTTTTCTTCAAGAAAAACTTAATAATAATCTGAGTGCTAGTGGCTCATTCCTATAATTCTCGCTTCTTAGGAGGCTGAGATTTAGAAGCTTGATGTTTGAGGCCATTTTAGACAGAGAATGTCTGCAAGACTTTCTCTCCAGTTAACCAGAAAAATGTAGAACTGGAGATGTGGCTCAAGTGGCAGAGTACCAGCCATAACCAAACCAAGTAAGAGTACAATATTACATCATTATAACAAAAGTATTTTATTTTTATTTTCAAGTCTGTATGAGTCATGGTTAATCATTGTCAAGAAATAAATAATCCGGGGGAGGGGGGAGGCTGGGAAGGGATGTGAAGGGTAAACAAAGGAGGAGGCTGCAATGCTTGGTAAGAAATGTATGCATTATCCTGCCCATGTAATTGTAACCCCTCTGTACAGTATGTTCACAAATAAAATAAAATAAAATAAAAAAAGAAATAAATAATCCAAGTTCTGATTTTCATATTTCTCTGAACCTTTGCAAAATATGCACAACCTCTGTGTATCTACAGCTGTGATATGAGGCCCGGGGGTGGCGGTTGGTCTGTATTCTGCAATGCCAGAATAGGCCATCAATTCAGCAAATTTGGTTGTTGTTTAAAAGAAAAAAAAAAAGACTACAGCCAGGCACCAGTGGCTCATGCCTGCAATCCCAGCTACTCAGGAGGCTAAGAACTGAGAATTGAGGTTTGCAGTCAGCCTGAAAAGCAAGTCCAAAAGATTCTTATCACCAATTAATCAGCAAAAAGCTGGAAGTAGAAGTGTGGCTCAAGTGGTAGAGTGCCAGCTTTGAGGAAATGAACCAAGTAAGTGTGTCCAGGCCCTGAGTTCAAGCTCTAGTACAGATGTGCACACATGCACGCAGGCACACACACACACACACACTCAATGCAATCACTGCCTAGAGCTATAGAGCTGAGAGCTTTAAGAAGATACTAATTGAACACATATTTAACTCAGCTACATTACCTGGCCAGGTATTATGCTCAGTTCTTTTGAGATAAACATCAAACTGGGTATGAGGTCTTAGGAAATTTAGAGATAGAACCCACAACAAACTATAAGAAAGTCTTAGGAACAAATAGGTTCTGAGAGGAGAGAATGATCAGACATTCACAAAGAGACCTCACTTGATGTGTGTCTGAAACCTGAGGATCAGGGTCTGCAAAGATCCTCAGACACAGTGGCTAGGGCAGGTGAGTGCCTGTGACTGTAGTGAGGAGGCCCTCACTAGAGAGGCCAGTGCAGGGTGACCTTCAGTGTAGAGCTTAGTCAGCGGATGGGGGAAGGGAGGGGGAGGGGGAGAGGGGAAGGGGAGTAAGAGGGGGAGGGGGAGGGGGAGAGGGGAAGGAGGAGAGGGGAGGGGAGGGGGAGGGGAAGGGGGAGGAGGAATGAGGTGAAGGAGGAGGAAGAGGAGGAGGAGGAGATGGAGATCAGATAGCATCTCACATTTTCCCCTGGGGTTAGCCTGGGAACCACCATGCTAAATCCACCTCCCAAGTGTCTGGGATTACAGGTATGTACAGGTTTCGGGGTTGTTTCATTTTTCCTGGCCTGGAACCATGTTCTTCCCATCTGTGCCTCCTGTGTAGCTCAGATTACAGTCATGTTTGACCAAGCCAAAATTGGAACATGGTTACGAATATCACTGGATGGACTTACAGCTGGCTTCCTTTTCAAATGAAAGCAAGGAAGGGACTGCTCTTCTATACCCATGAGATTCCTGAAGAGTGTGTGTGTGTGTGTTTGTGTGTGTGTATGTGTGTGTGTGTGTGTGTGTGTGTGTTATTGAACATTTCCACCACCTGAGCACTGTCCTTAAGCCCTTCTGGAGTGACCTCTCAGGCACTGGGCTTCCTAGTCCCTAGTCTGGGCTTCCCTATCTGTGGACTTCATATGAACTCAATGCTACAACACAGACTCTCTTCTGTCTGGCTTTTCTCCAGATAATAGCCTTGCATTCATCCCTGTGGCCATACGTATCCATATGGAGTTCTCATGTTTTGTTTTTGGGTGTTGATAAACATTAGTACTGTTTGGACTAATTAGGAATAAAGATGCTATTCAATATTTTGCACAAATAAAGAATTTTTCTTTCTCTGGGGTAAGTTCCTAGGAATGGCCCTGCTGGGTAGTAGGATAAGTACATGATTCATCTATATAGGAAAGTAAAAATCAAATTACAAAATGGTTTTACCAAAATTATTTAGCCACCCTCAATATATGAGACTCTCAATATTATTTTCCATTTTATGGTCTCCATTTAAGTCTTTCACTTTCATTTTTATTGGGTATCATTTTTGTTGGTCTATAGGAACGCTTGTATATTATGGGTGAAATCTTTACTTAAACTGAAGAGCCTTAAAATTCCAACTTTCACTTCCAAACCGTGATTGAGGATGAAAACTGCCACTTGCAAGTTTACGCTATGATGTCTGATCAAAATCACATGTTTCTGTTCTCTGATAAGAGCTGCTCACGAGCTGATGCAGTGCCCTCTAATATCTACACACTTATTTCTTCCGGGTCAAGAAATATCAAGCTTTTGCTAAACATTTATTTCAGGACCTGTTCTCACTGAGTGCCTTCTTTTAGAAAATGAAGAAAAATAACTATCCATTATCTGTGCACACCATTTTTAGAGATTAATAAAGGGCAACTATTTCAGGGACAGCTATTTTAGTTTAAAAGGATGTGACATTGATTGTCCCTGAATTCTAGCAAAATACTGGGCCTGGTGTCCGATCTACCCCTTGTGAATGAACATGATTTGTTTCATCTGCTATGCAAGCCACGCAATAAATGATTCAGTGCTAAAAATCCATCATAGGACTGTGCTTTTAATTCTTCATTACTTTCAAATCGACTGTGGCTGGCAATTCCTGTGTTCTCTAGCCTAATCCTTAACATTCCCCACAGGGAAGCGAGGCAGATGACAGGGAAAAGCTAAAGGTTTCACAGGAATCACAGGATTCCAGGAAGACTCTGGAACATGAGTCTGTCCCTGACAAATAGGTAGATGGCATGTGGATTTATTCTCTCAATGTGTTCTGTGCTAGGCAGAGCAGACTATAGAGAAAAGCCAAGAGAATGCTGCTGGGGGAGGGGGGGTCCGCAGGGCCAGGGGAGCAGATGAGCCTGAGCCAAAGACTAGGGCAGAACTGTGAGGACTGGAGGCTGGAAACGGGGTGCCAGGCCCTCCTCCCAGGAGACAGGAGAGAAAACTCCCTTTAGTTTAAGCCTGGTTTGGGAAAATCCCCAGGTTAGAATTCCTGAATGAGGAGCTGGGAAGTTGGCTCAGTGGTAGAGCGCTTGCCTTGCATGCTTGAGGCCCTGGGTTCGATTCCTCAGCAACACATAAGTAAAAAGAAAAAAGCCGGAAGTGGTGCTGTGGTTCAAGTGGTAGAGTGCTAGCCTTGAGCTGAAGAGCTGAGGGACAGCGCCCAGGCCCAGAGTTCAGGCCCTAGGACCGGACCCAAAAAATAAAAAAATAAAAAATAAAATAAAATAAAAAATAGAATTCCTGAATGAATGATTAAGGAAACTGGTGAGTCATGGTGAGACCCATACTCTGGGTGTTCCTGAGGGGGAGGTCACAGAAGGGAGCTCTGGGGTCCTGCTGTCCCTGAGAGTCAGGGCTGAGGAGGAAGATGGCAGTCCCAGGCAGGGGCTGGGGAGAAGCAGGGCAGGTGTGATCTGGGAAGATGTAAATGAAAAACTAGAGGAGAGCCAAGCCTTCCTCTAGCCCTCCCTCTAGCCCTCCCTCCAGCCCTCCCTCCAGCCCTCCCTCCAGCTGTGCTGTCACTCCTAGGGGACAGTGAGGGGCATGAGCCCAATTCTGCTCAGCCCAGCCTGCAAGGCTGTGGGAGGTCTACCACCCTCCTTCCACAGCAGAAGCACCATCCCACGTGCTGGAGGAAATACAAGGAAAGAGAAGAACAGAGACTGCTGCTGGGGCTGAACTGGGTTATAAGTCACAGCAGAGGCCAAAAGCATGCGGGGCAAATGGGGCAAAGCAAGAGACTAAGTCCAGGAGAAAAGGCAGAGGATCTCATTCCTTCCAAGATACTGTACTTGCGGGGCGGGCCTGATCCTCAGGTATGCAGAGAAAGCAGCAGCGGGAAGATGAAAACAGGTCATGAACAGACATCGTGCTCATTGGATGGCGAGATGTGTCTAATGAAGAGGAAGCTTAGAGCTATTGTTCAGAAATGATAAGAGCAAACGAATTTGGGGCTGGACACCTGGCAGGTCCTGAAGCCTGCCGCTGGGTGTCCGCCACGGCACATGAAGGCAGGCTGGCGGCCTTCAAGAACACGTCATGGTGTGCTTGCCTGCAGGAAGCTGTGATGACCCACAGAAATGTGACTCATAAGCCACCCAGCAACTGTCACTTCTCCAAAGCTCAGGGGAACCCCCTTCAGGGAAGGCTCCCTTCCCTCCTTCTCCAGAAGCTTCTGAACAGAGGCAACCTGGGTAGCAGTCTAGGACTTGCCAACACAATGATCTTGACTCTCCTTGGCTGGAATACATCATGCCTCAACAGATGGGCTTTCTGACAGTCGGCATGGCTGTGTCCTCAGTTTGGCTGGGTGTCATCTTTGTGGGAATTATTCTACTGTTCATGAGACCCTACACGGGCAAAAGGTTGGGCTAGGTTCTTCACGGTTGGGGTCCCAAAGGGAATGCAAGGACATATCCCAGCCTCTCATATGGTGGATGTAGAGGGCAGTGAGGGGGAGGGGGAGGGGGAAGGGTCCTACCGGGGCGTGGGAAGGGCTTCCTAGAAGGAGAAGTGTAAGCGAGTCACGCACACACAAATTCTGTCATAATATATAGCAATCTACTTAAACATACACACACACACACACACACACACACACACACACACACACACACACACACACACATATAATGTTGAGAGCAACCCAATGCTTAAACATGATAATCATTCTCTCATAATACAATGATTAGAAAAGCAAATAGATATTTTCGGTCCCGGGGAAGGTCTTAAAAAGGCATGTTTTGTTTTTGTTTTGTTTTTGTAATCAGTCACATGTGGTTCTCAACCAACTGAGAAAGAAGGAAAAAACAAGTGTGCTCACAGTTCAGAGGCAGATACTAAAGTCGTAGAAGGAGCTGCTTGCACTGCACCCTCTCCCCATCCCAGCTGCTGTAGCCTCTCCCCCCTCCCCCCCCCCCGCCTCCCCCCCGCCCCACCCCGCACAGGGAACATGGCTCTTCCACTCTGCATCTCGCCTCCTCTTGACCTGAACTCACCTCACTCTCTTCAGAAGTAATTGTCCCAGATTCCTCTGATTACATCAGAGACACAGTCTAATAATGTATGCATTACGTATTCTTCCTACAAGTACATCAGGACTCTAATTAAATGGCTATGTGTAATTATTTGTTTAATGTCCATCACTATCCATCTTGTTCAGGATGTCTACTGCCCAGGGGCACCCAGTGAAGGAGGGAGGCCTGCTTCCGCTCACTTGGCCCTGCGCCTCAGGTTGCCTCTGATGGGAGGAACCAGTGCCTTGGCCTCACTGGTGTAAAGGCACCCTGTGGGCTCTGGGGGTCCAGTGTGAACCCTGTGAGGACAGGGTTCTGCATTATTCCCACTGTCTAACAGAGGTCCGGCACAGAGTAGCTACCCTGTAGGTGTGCATGGGATACGTGAGTGGATGGATACTTTGGGACAGTTTACACACTGGAATTTTACCAAAGGCAGAGGTGGTCTCGCTTGCTTCAGGAGCGGAAGCCTGCAGGCGGGAAGGAAGCAAGCCCTGGGCTCACAGACGGGCTGGGGGCACAAGGGGGGGGGGACGGACGGTGGAACGGTGGATCAGGTGGGCCTCTTGCTCTAACCACAGTCAGCAAACACCAGCATGTCTCCTTCTCTTTGAGAAAGGAATAATTCTGGAGAAAATGTTTGCTTCATTTGTGAAGCGTGGCGAACAAGGTCAGGCCCAAATGCATGGAAATACGAGCAATAGGCTGAATATGCGCCTTAAGTTTTCACAAAGTCAGTGATTGTGTGGGAACAGGAGAGGACCCTCCCTCCACCGTGCACTCACGGTCACCTGGTATCCAGGTAACTGAAGTAGGAGGGCCAGATCGGACGTGCCTTCCTTCCTGTCTTCCTGCCTCATAACCCAGAAGGCTGAGGGAGACAATATGAGGAAAGAGAACTGACTTGGTGCCAGAGGTTAGATCCATTCAGGGGTGATAACGCACAGTCCCTGGAGGACATTTGCACATGTCAGGAAGACCTGACACAAGGTTGTAGGCTGAAGAGGCTGGCGGGTCTCTGCCCTCCCAGCCCAGAGCTTCAGAGTAGACCGGCCCCTCACTCCTGGGTGCCTTGAGCTATGGTCACGCTCCTGCTCTTTAGAGTCAGGAACAGAGTGACAGCACTGCTGGAGGAGACGGAGGGCTCTGTCATGCACAAGGCGCCTCGCACATCCACGGGGCCTGGCGCCTCGCGGTCTTCCTCCAGTCAAGACTCACCACATCCACAGTCAGCATCTTGGACCCTCTTATGAAGCTGGTGCCACGACGCTGAAGAGGATCATGGGTGGTTACATAGCACAAAGGCAAAAGGACTAGTGGCCAAGCTCCAGCCCTTTGTCTCCTGAGAGAAGAGGAAAATCCCAACAATGAGAGGCTTGTGTTCCCCTCCACAGCCGAGGGGCTGGACAGCTGGCCAGAATCAAAAGAATGCATGAAGTGTTCTAAGAATGTGTCACCAATGGTGAATCTAGGGTCCCTAAGCCACATTGATAGTGTAAATCCAGCTTTAATAAGGCTTTACTCAATCAAGCCAGCAAACCAATCTATCCAGTGAATATCTAATAGACCCATCATGGACCATTGTTGTGCCAGAAACCAGGATTGCTTCCAGGCCCAGGGCAGTCATGGTTCTGTCTATCACAGAGTTCAGGGCTAACAGTGGGAGCAGACAAAATGTAATGTGAAGCAAAGGGAAGCAAGCCCAGAGGGAAATGTTTGCTGTGAAGGACCCCAGGGGAATAACTTATATATGCTAATGCATTCTGCCAAGAAGGGAAAATAAAATGTACTTCTCCAAGGAAACGTGTACTAGAGATGAATGCGTGAACACACACACACATACACATACACACAGAGAGCGAGAAAGAGACAGAGACAGAGAGGCAGAGAGAAAGACTGGTGGTTCTGAGCCTAAAAGACAGTGTTTGTATGGCAAGGTCATAGGTAGGGATGCTTACTCATCTCAGAATTGGAATAATTCCACAGAAGGGAATTACAGAACAGGGTTGTCTCATGAGATCCACCTGTTGTTTTTCCATCTTTATTAAAGTATAATGGACAAATAAAACTTGACACATTCAAGGCGTGTGTTACAGTTTTTCTCATAAGTAATAGGGAAGAGGAAATCACCCCACAATTCAGTTCCTTTACAACTTTAGTCCATTCCATCACCAGGGGCTCCTCACAGCACACAAAGTATATCATGAATAGGACTAAGATGATCAAGAGAAGATATTTAATATTGATTAAGAGTCAGAACATCAAGGAGACAAAATAATCTCAAATTGGGATCCATCAATAAACAGAGGTCTAAAATATCCAAAGAAAAAGCTGACAAAATAAAAGGGGAATCGGCTAAATATAAAATCAAAGTCCAAGATGTTCAAACGTCAAATCCTATTGTCAGTAATTGACAGAGCAATAAACAAAATATAAACAGAGAGATAAATCCTGGGATACCCCACCTTAGCCAAATTGACACACACAAAAAAAAGAAGAAAACAAACCTGACCATATCAAAATTTAAAGCTGTTTCTGTGAATAATGTCAAGAAGGTAAAAGTGCAACCCACAGAATAGAAGACGTTTGCTAATCTTACGTCTCTGTTTAGAATAAACAGAACTCATAGAGAAAAAGGCAGCCTCATTTAAAAGCATACAAAGGATTTACAATAGAAACTTCTCCAAGACAAAGTTAAAAATGACCAAGAAGCGCCTGCAAAGATTTTCAACAGTAAAGAAATGTAAATTAAAAGCCTAGTCAGAAACCAGCTCATCTCCAGCAGTACTGCCAGGCTAGTGGGCTGGGAAAACGGATGCAACAAGAGGTGGCTGATTGCATGCGGCAGCACCAGAGCCCCAACCACAGCAGTGGGAAGGTAGAATGGTGTGATTCCTGCAGAACATGAGAGTATGGCTCATCCAGGCTAAACACTCAGCTCACAGCTGACTTCACCCCACTCCATTCCATTCCAGAAGTGCCCCGAGAAAAACCAAAACCTCCTCACTACGCAAAAACTTTGGCATAGACATTGACACTAGCATTATTCATTACAATCAACCCACACGTCCACCAATTAGTTCACCAACCAAACAGCATCTATAAAGCAGCATATTACTAAGCAATAAAAATAAATGGATTACTGATACATGCTAAAGCATGAGGAACCTTGAGAACTTTCTGCTAAATGAAATAAACCAGCTACCAAGAACCACACATCCTCTACCTCTATTTTTGTGACATGTCCAGTAGAAGCAAATCCATAAAACCGAAACTAGAGAGCAGTTGCTTGTCTGTGGGTGAGGAGGAATGGGGAGGGAGATATAGATTCAGGTTTTCCTTTATAGGAGACAAAAATATTCTAGAATTGGATTCTCACAAAAATACTTTACATGGGTGAACTGTGTAGTATGGGGATTTTATTTCACTAAGGTTTTTTTAAAAAGTGGTTTTGTAAATGTGCAAGTTCTTTATACTGAAAGTTATCTCTTAAAAATATAGCTGAGAAAAATTAAAGCACTTTATAAACAGAGGAATGAGTTATGTTGGTGGACCAGAACTCTGAACATCAATATCAATTCTTCCTCAGAGCAATCTATTGATAATCCCAAACCTAGCAGGATTTCTTATAGAAACAGGAAAACTGACTCCAAAATATATGTGTAAAAATAAAGGACAAACAGCTACTAAGCACAGTCTTGAGAAAAAAAATCAACAGAGATGAAGGAACTGAACCACCTGAGTTCAACATAAGCTACAGAGCTGCCTAGGGATGGATACACAGATTAATGGACAGTTATATAGTTTGCAGAAATAGACCCACACTTTTACAGTCTATTAATTTTCTCAAAGGCGATAAAGTAATCCTATGGTGAAATGAAAGTCTTGCCAACAAATGGCGCTGAAAAACTGCATATTAATATGAAATGTAAGGCACTATATTTCGCATTATGTACAAAAATTAGAGAAAAGCCTAAATGCAAAACCCAAAAGTGATCAAATTTCTTTAATTTTTTTGTGTTTTGGTTGTTTGCTTTAGTTTTTGTTTCTATGAGCATTGTCCTTTTTTCATATTTCTATTATCTTTAAGTAGTTGTACAAAGGAGATGCCACTCAACAAAGCAGTTTATGAAAGCAGTACATCTTGATCAATGTCCCTGTCAACATTCTCAGCCACCCCTCCCAACCCACCCCTTCCCTATTCTTCATTTTTTAGGATACGAATTCATTTTTTGCCATTGAACAAAGTAGTTTGTGTATCCAATGCGTCTTGATCTGTGTCATTCTTTTAATGTTTTCACCCCCTTTCAATGCACCCCTTCCCTCATTTGTCTTAATTTTGTAGTACA